GAACAATTAAGACAGTCAGCCTCCACATTCAGAACCCCTTGTCCCTATATGCTTGGTTTAAGTGATTAAATAGCCAGGCTGTAACAGTTTGTTTCTAATAGACATTAAAGCCATTTTGTTGCAGTATGTCTCCAACCCCAATAAGCCTGTGCAAAAACACATAACTCAGTTACAATACTTATAACTTGCATACCTAGATTGGGCAGATTTACCACTATGCTACACTGTTCCATAGCTATGAGGTCCCTCGATACTTGTGGCTTCTGGGGGCCATGTAGCTCTGTTCTATCTTTCTTTCATCTCCTCTTCCTCTGTCTTCTCCTCTCTCCCTCTTTTCCCCAGCTCTCAAAAGCCTTCAGCTCCACTTTTCCCTTCCATTGCCTAATCCAAGCTCTAGCCTTTATTTGTCTAGTTAAAATGGGGAAAAGATTCACATGAAATTATCTGAGTAAGAGACACACTCTTTGTTTGGGCAGCCCCTCTTGAGGAAGCAGAATTAACATCAGATTACAAATAGCACTAGGGCTACACAACACCATTTACTTCTCTAGTGATTTCCTCCATCCCTTTTCTAGATTTTGCTGGGACCCAGGTAGAACTTGTTCTTGCATTTCAAATTAGGAAAGTAGGAGCACAGAAGAGCATTTTCTGGTATCAAGCCAAGAAGTCACTAATACTCTAAACTGCTCTGCAGGACACAGTGTCTCTTTCCAACCAAGAGAGATGAAAGGTGGAGTACATATCAGTAGAGCTTCTCTGGTGTCTGAAATTAGAAACAAAACAGAAAGTCACTGATGTAATCTATAACTGTTTTGCTGAATTGAAAATTTGGGATTGATTTTCAATAAGATTTAAATGCTATGCTTGTATAGCTGAATTAGAAAGACAGTGGATTCCACATTGAGCTTAAATAGTGTTGCAATACAGTCTAAAATTTCTCTCACCTTGGAGCCAAAATAACTGGCACCACATGATTTGAGCTGGAACTTCAGTGTTTAACTGGGGTTCTATTTGAGGAGACTCTCCCCAGAGTTTTGGTCAGGATCTTAATATGGGTACTAGCAAACACTGGGAGCTAAGGATACCATGCAAAACAGGGGTGACATATTCCAATCAGCATAGATATTTTTCATACACTAAAGCAATTCAACCACAGGTATTCGGTAGAAAAGCTCTTGCTTAAATTAAGACAGGGTAGAATGTATTACTCTCATAGAAATGTGTCCATGGTTCATCCCACTTCACACATCAACAAGAAGGTTGATAGGTAAATGAATGCATGCATATTTATACGGCAAATGTGCCTTTTTTTTTCACTGACTGATTATCCAATTTGAGGTCTGTCATTCTGTTTCACTATATGAAAGAACTAACAGGTCAGCACTTTACGAGCCATAGTGATGTTTGCTCAGTAAAAGCCACAACTCTTCAGAGAGCAAGATCTAGACAGATACCTTAAAGAAAGATGCAATGTCCAAGGAAACAATCACTCACCTGCTCAGCTTCAGATTTACATGGAGTCATCTGAAAAGCTGTACTTGTTGCCTTTGTCTGTGGGAAGTATAGCCTTCATTTTTCTTTACTTTCAATTTCTGCTCACAGATGGTTTTATTTGGTTCACAATCGTTCCAATCTAAACCGTGGAGAGATTTTTGGTGTATGTTCTCCCATCTTATATTCCATTCCTTAAATATGCTAATTTCTGAATGCAAGTAAACTATTTTACTCTTCTGTTTCTTTTCTGTGTTTCTTTGAAGCAGATTTATTGATGCTCTCAGAAGAAAACATTTGTGGTCAAAAGTGACAGTCTAGTTGTTGTCATTCAGGGTGAGGTCAAATAAGTTGGGTCAAACACTTGTGCTCACTCTGTTGTGTAGCATCAGTCAGTTTCCTTATTCTCTCAACACGTGATGATGTGAAGAAACCTGAACATGCCTCCATTTCTTGTGAGAGTTCAAACTTGTGTAGCCACCATGGAAATCAACATGGCAGTTTCTGAGAAAACTGGGAATTCATCTACTCCAAGTCCCAGTATAACACTGTTGGGTATATGCCCCAAAGGCCCTCCATCCTACCACATAGGCACTTGTTCGACTATGCTTATAGATGCTTTTTTATGATAACTAGATATTGGAAACATCCTAGATACCCTTCAGTAGAAAGGATAAAGAACATGTGATACATTTACATATAGAGTATTGTAACAGCATTTTTCCCTGTCCAATTAATTTAAATACTAATACAACAAGAAGCTTGTAATTGGACATGGAAAGGGTGGGGTAACTAAGTGTTGCAGAGTCAGTAAGTAAGATAGGAGAAGAAGGAAGCAAGATGGAGGACAAACATGATGATTCAGATTCCACATGGCTTTAAATAGCCACAGGTAGCTATGATATCATAGGGATAGAATAATTGGGATAATTTGTCTAATCTAGGTGGTCATCTTTGTATCATTATCAACTGGTTCTGAAATTATTGTGTTGGGCATCTTGTGAATTAAGAATTTAATGTTATATAAATATGATTGATTAGTTACAACCTCCTAGAGTTTTGGTTTACTGGGTTAAGGGGAATTGTGACCGCTGACCATAGCGGGTAGATGGCTGAAAAGGAGCCAGCAGCTCTTTGTCAAGAGAACCAGAGCTGGGAAGACTGTAATCGTTCAGTCGCTGATGGGGCTAGTTTAGAGGCAGAAGCAGTGAGACCACCACAAGGGCAGAGAGTACCTTTGTGTAGCAAGGAAGCTCGCCATCATTTTAATACTTCCAGCAGAGAATTAGTAAACTGTTAAAATGACTTTATGAAATTTGCAAGTAAATGGGTAAAACTAGAAAATATCATCCTTCATGATATAGCCCAGAACCAGAAAAATAACCATGGTATTTACTTACTTATGAGTAGATTTTAGCTGCTATGTAAAAGATAATCATAATACAATCTTGGACAATAGAGACTAAGTAACAGAATGGATTGAGGGAGTAGGCATGGATTTCCCTGGGGTGGGGAACTATAATAGATTTTGTGAGTGATCTGGGGCCACATGAGGATGCAGAAGGAATGAGATGGGGTATTGGCAGTGGTGGAGAGAGAGAGTACTTGGAAAGATTACTGAAATTGGGCAGGGGAAGTATTTGTGGGGTTATTTAGAAACCCAGTGCTATGAAAACTTCTTAGAGTCTTATAAGAGAGACCCTAGCAAAGCCTCCAAGCAGTGGGTGATATGTAGCCTAAAACTGGCCATCTTTTATAAAAAGGCAATTCTCCTAGCCTTAGACTTGGAAATCAAACAAGTCACAAAACCTTTGACCTACAAATTGTCTTGACTGTAAAATGTGCTGGGGTAATGGTGATTACAAACTTGTGGGAATGCCCAAACAATAACTTGTCTAATTTGAAGTCAGTACTATAATAGAAAGCCCATGACAAAGAGACCTTAGGTAGAACCAAACAGAACTGGAAAAAAATCAATTAAATGATTGTTTTGTGTTCTGCTATACTCTCAGATTACTGTGTAGCCCAGTCATCACTGCAGTGGCTTCCACTGGCAGGTAGTGGGAAGACACCTGGAGACCCACAGACAAATAATTGTCAGAGTTCAGGAAGCCTTAGGGAAGAAGGAAAGTATGAAAGCATTGTAGAAGACAGAGGATTCAAGGACACTGGAACACAGTTCACAGAATCAACTAAGCAGGACTAACAAGGGCTCATAGAGAGTTAAGTAGCAATATAGCTTACATTGGTCTGTGCTACTGCCACTGCAAATATGTTGTATTTGTTTAGCTTAGGGGTTTTGTGGAAGTATCTCTTACTCTTTTCTTTGTTCTTGAGACCATTTTCTTCACACTGGGTTACTTCATCCAACCTTGATATGAGTATTTTGCAAAGTCTTATCTCATGTTGTTATCCCATGATAGGGTGATATCATTGGAAGCCTGCTATTTTGAAAGTAAAATCCAGGAGTAGATCTGGTGCAGAGAAAAGTTTGGGGCTGGGGGAGTTAGCAGAGTGGAGGGAGAAGAAGCAGTTGGTATGTATTGTATGAGAAAAGAATAAGTAAGAAAAAAATCTTTACATATACTGAGGATATTCAAATAGGTTCTGCACATTAAAAGACATACACATGAACAGAAAGTGTATTTGTATTCATAATATAAACCACTATAACAATATTTTAAATGTATATGTATCGACTGCTTATATGTAGTACACAGTGTCCATGACTGGTATCCTCAGAAGCCAGAGAAGGGTGCTGAATCATTTGGAACTGAAGGTAAAGATAGCTGTGGTTCATTAGGTGAGTGCTGAGAGTCAAACCCAGGCTCTCTTCAAGTTCAGCAATTGCTCTTAACCAGGGGACATTCTCTCCAGCTCAGAGAATCACTTTTAAATATATGATTTTATCTTATAGGGACATGAACTCATTTTAAAGCAACTAATATTCCTGAAGAAATTTCTAATGTTGATAAACTCATTATAGAATTTATTTCAATGAATGGAATAACTAAGATCTTAGAAATGAAATATTATAACTTCTGACTTGATTGTTCTCTTTTGTATAAAACTACAGTCATTAAGTCCATATGAATCGTAGATATACATATAAACAAATAGGTGAATAGGACATCATGAGGAAACACTAGATCGATCCATACATAATAGGCTATGTTTCTAAGACAGAAAGTGTGCCTTGTTGTTAATGTGTGCTGGAATGTGCATCCATTCTTCTCTGAGTCACCACTGATGATACAACTCAGACTCTTCAAAGGAAACAACTGCAGTCTCTGTTAAGGCAGAAAAGACATTGGTTGTCTTTGTTGCTGAACATGAAGAGGAAGGAAGATAGATACAGAAAAGACTGCTTAACCTCTCCTACCAAAACAAATGACTCTTCATGAGCTTAGATAAGACTTCTATTACATGTAAGGTACAGTTTCAATGGTTGACTTACCATGAGGAATATCTGGGGCAGCCAAGCCACACACTTCTACTTCCACAGAGGTTTATGTTATGACATGTATCATTGTGGGAGGAAGCTTTTTATAATGTAGACAATAATAAGTGGCAATGTCATCAGGTTCCAGGTTGCTGATGGTGAGAGAATAGTCTATCCCAGATCCACTGCCACTGAACCTTGATGGGACTCCTGAGAGTAACTTTGATGTGTAGTAGATGAGGAGTTTAACATTTCCATCTGGTTTCTGCTGATACCAATTTAAATAGTTGTCAATGCCCTCACTTGCCCTGCAACTGATAGAGACACTGTCTCCCAGAGAGGCAGACAGGGAGGGTGGAGTCTGGGTCATCTGGATGTCACATCTGGCACCTAGGAGTGGAGATATAATAAATACCAAAAGAGTTATGCATGAAAGGAAAGGACCCACTCCCAAATGCCAGCCAACAGGGATTCCTGTGAAACAGTGAAATTTCCATTTTAGACCATTTTACCTTGAAACCAAAGCAACAGGAGCCCAAAGAACTGAGCAGTGGCCCTCATGTCCATGATGAGTTTTGACTGCAATGACAATGGCTCAGGATGTGACTGCTATATGAAGAAGTCCCCAAAGATAGGAAGTAAGTGTATGCAAAACATTGGCAACCAGTAAGATCTGAGCACAGCTGCAAGAATCACTCATCTCAGCACTTAGCACAAGCACAGTGACCCCAGATGACTAAGGTCAGATCACACATATGCCTCTGGAGACTACATTTAATATGTAAGTCTTTAAAATTACAGATGTCATTTTGAAGGTTGTTTGAAAATTTCTACTATACATGAACACTAATTGTAATACTATACTTCAAGTATACATTGAATGTAATAAAGAAAGATATCCTGCTTTCTAAGAATATTAATCAAAGAAAATATTATTATTGAGATTAATAATTCACATTGTTTAAAAACACTATTTGTTATCATTATGAAGTATTTGTGTGTTTTGAGTAGTCATTTCTTTAAATTAAAATCATAATATACCAGGATTGTTTTGGTGAATTAAAAAGTAAGATTTAACAGAATTAGTCATGCTTAAAACAGTATAAATGTGTAAATGCACAAAACGTGCACATATAACACCTGATCCCAACAACCTGTGTAACTAGGAATTCTTAGTTCATATGAATATGAAGGTGTTTTTATTCTCGTGGGCTAAATGGGATGTACCTTTTGCTCAGTTTTGGATCCTGCAGTTAAACACTATTCTAGTATTTACTGTCATTTACCACAATTCTTCAGCATGTGTGTGTGTGACTAATGAAGCTATACTTGACCATTATAACAGAAAACACTGCTATTGGGTACTCTGGATGTTACATTTGGTTCCTGAGATTGGATACATAATATATCTCAATAAAAATTAAGCACAGTGAAAAGGGGAATCTCCAGTGTATCAGGCAACACTGAGCACTGTGTCACGGTTATATTCCCATTGTAGTCTTTATTTGCTGAGAGGAATCCCTCATGATCATCAGCTGTTCTACCTGAGACTGACTATTCGCCACTGTGTGATCATCCAATTAGTAAGTCCTTGGGAAGTGGATTTTGTTTTGGTCACATGCCAATCAGCAAGAAATGGATAGCTCTAGGTAGAACTTCAGTATCACTTGTCTTAGTAAATCATCACAAGCTAGTGACTTAAGATTCCAGCCCAGACCAGGACAACACATATTTTTCTACAGAGAAAAATTTCTTCTATAATGATCCTGCACTACTAAGGATATCTTAGAGACTATTTACTAAGTTTATGGGAGACATAATACTGTTCAACATACTAATTGTTAACAGGAGGAAGTAATAGAAACTACTATATTCAGTGAAAATACAGAAGGCCATGGGACTACTAAAATCTTTTACTCACTCTTCCACAAATTGGATTAGAAAAAATAAACAAATAAAACCTTTGTGTTCTAAGTGCAAAGTGTTTCTGAGTTTCCAGAAACTGTAAAACACTCCTGCTGGAGCTTAGGTAATAACATAAATTCTCAAAATATGTCATTCACAGTTCCACTGTCATTTGACGGTATCCCTTTAATAACCAGAGATTACATGGGCTACATCATTCCCTATGTTGGGACCACATATATTTAGTTTGTTTAAAGCCTTGAGCTACAATTTACCACATTATAAGAGCAAGAATGGTCACTAAGTGTTGCCAGACCTAATTAGTTTAACTAAAAGCACTGTTTCTCATTACATGGCCATCTAATACACTATGAATGTAGCATTTCATATTTAATTCTATGATTGGCAACAATTCCAACATTTTCACTGAAAATCAAAAAAAAATATCTCCGTCCTATATCGGACAGTATATACATTCTTAAGGAAACTTGAAAGCTTATATTATTTGAAAAATATGTGGTCATGAAATATCTCATATAAATGCATGAAATATCTCATATAAATTGTATGTGCCAGCCTCATTAATCATCAAAGGAATTTGAATCAGGCAGGGTCTTGTAAACTCTTATCTTAAGGCCTGGAAATTGTGGCAGCCTTCTATCTTTTGTCAACTAGAAGCTTTAGAGTGGTGCAGCAGTCTAGACTTTATGAGACTGATTTTCCAGGATCCATTTATTCAATGATTTGCCAGCCAATAGCCTTTCTGCCTCACATGAATAGATTGAGAATAGTGCCCATATTCTTTGAGCTGGATTAGAAGTTCATTGTGATATCTCAGCCTCCCCTTTTACCTGTATTACCAGTGACATACTTCCATCATTTCTATGCTTTTCTGAGATCTATATACTTTAGAACATGGTTCTCCCTGCTCATATGGCAGTCCACATAAGCTATAATGGTCATTCTTCAGGACATTCTTAACAGAAGAGGAATTTTTTTCACAAGTCAGCTGAAACAATCAACAGACAATTTGTTATTAGAGAACAATGTCTGGTTGAGTGTTTGCCGGATTTTAAGAATATTATGTAACCACATACTGACTTGATTTTTAAAGAATCAGGGAAACTTTAATGATAGTACATATCAAAAAGAAGTGATGTAAAGAGTGTCAGAGTTTAATGTTTGAGGCAGAGAACTCAAGAACCAAGTTATTCTTTGAAGCTTTCTTTTATGAAGCTCAAAGGAAAAAAAAGGAGTTGAATTGCTATGGGGTGTTGTTTGTGTGCTTCATTGTTTTAATTTAGAGATTAAGTTATGGTGTGTGATCCTTCTAACAAGGCTCCTGATATTAAATAGATGTGTAACCCAATGTATATAAGATGGTAAATAGGAGCTTCTTTCTAAAAGTTCACCTAAAGTAGATGCAGCCTAGTTGTACATATACAGAAAACAGGTAGGTCAACCCATCTCCTTTGGCTTCAGAATTGTTCCTTGATATATTGAAATAAATCTTCAGTACAATCAAGGAGTTTCTAAGGTTAATAAGTTTTTTCAATTGTTTATGTAGCCTGACACAAGTGGAGGGTTTCAGGATAGAGGAAAGAACTAGAGAAAATGTGGACATGTCCCTAGAAGTGAGAGAAGGATGGGAGGAAGAATTGGTGGTAGTTTCAATTCAATACACAGCTTTTCTCTAACTCCTCAGCAATCATGAGCTCCCTGGTCTATCTACAAACACAAGGGAATGTATCCTTTTCATGAAACAGTTTTTGTGGAAGGGACATGCAGTGATGTCACTATGCTGTGTTATTAATCATCATGCAATCTTCCTCAGGATTATTAGTAATATATAATGTAAACAATAAAATAATTATTGAACACAATAATTTAATAATTACCTATATACAATAGGAATAATTTCCATTTCTATTTGTTCCATAAGTTTCATCCCTCCATTTCTTCTGGCATTGCATTATTTGCTGACTTTCTCTGGATTGTGTCCTAAGGATCAATGAGAACCTAAGGCCCTGAAGAGAACAGGCCCAACAGCACCAGACACACCTTTAAGATAGTCATTTCTCAGATTCTCACAATAGCTGTAGGATTTAGCCTAGTTTAACACTCTTTAGTACTGAGGAGATAAGTTCTTGGACACCTGACAGGAAATATCCTATCCTATTTATCACCCATATTATCAGCATGGCACAGGACAGAAGGTCCTTCCTGTATAGCTCAGTAGTAATCTAGCAGTACAGCCGGAACCTTAGCTTTTTGTAACCTTCTGTACTTAAAAAGAAGTCTCCCATTTGTACCCATGCCTGAACATCTGTGCTGGATTTAAATATACTGGTCATGCATGGTTCCATTATTGCTATAGACAGAACTGCCTGTTAAATAATGGAAATTTGAGTTAACTGTTTATCCTCAGAGACTGGCTTTTTCCACAGCTATCACCAAACAATCTCTTGGCAGTGATCATACACATGACAATTTTATGTATCATGAAACTTAAAATTAGAAAATCTCTAGTATCTAAACACATAATAATCATCTTCCTTCTTTTGCTTTCTAAAAAGCAACATTGTTTTGCTGTATTCGTGTACTTTCTTATGTACAGCTTTGTATTAAATTGCCATATACAATGTCCATGTCAAAAGCTATTTCACAGTAATTTTGATTATGTTAATTAATATAACTATTAAACATGATTAATGTTAATTGCATGGTGCATCTGACGAAGTATTTTACTTAAAAATCTAAACAGTTTGAAGCTTCTCATCTGTGGTAAAGTGAATACTGTTTCTAAACACAATCAGATGAACATAAGTTAACATCCTAAAAGCCAACTCTCTAGTAGTTTATTGTAGTTGCCAGGAATATTTAGTTATATTTCCCAATAAGATGAATGTATTCCATCTGATACATAGGCCTCTTTCAGATTGTGAAATCATTCTGAACATTTTCTCTAATAACATGAGTCCCATATAGAAACCTACCAGGGACACAATATTTGTATTGTCCTCTTATGACCTGTAAAAACAGAGGACAGCAAACTTTTGGATTAATATAATGCCAGCTTTACTTGAAAAATAGATGTGTTATAGATGTGCTTTCTCATATTTTTAGAAGTGTCTGTTTATTATCTACTTTTAGTCTATCTGACTGAAAAAAAGACATTGTGTGACTAAAGATCTTTTCCATTTACAAGAGCATCATGTTAATTTTGATCATTTATGGTACTAAAACCACAGATGTATACAATTAATTACTCCATGATGCAGCTATACTCTGCCTTTACCACCACAGAATCAGCACCACCATTGCAGGGGCAGACAACTGACCATTGCTGCTCTAAGACACTCAATCAGCCCCTAGGCTTATTTTCATTTTTCCCATTCAAGTTATATCATGTTACACTCAAGGAACATATAAGGCAGCTTCGTCACCTCATGTAGGTAGGTTTTGTTTGTTACTGTATCACAGTGGAAGGACATCCTATATCTTGCTGACAGTAATAAACACCAACATCCTCAACCGCTATTCTTTCAATTTTCAGTGTGAAGTCTCTTCATGACCCCACTGCCACTGAGCCTGTCTGGGACCTATGAAAACCATTTGGACACTGTTTCAGAAATTCTGTTACTGAAAAAACAAAGCCCACTATGACCAATAGAAATTTGGGTA